GAGATATTGAGCATTTTTTCATGTACTTGTTGATTGACTGTATGTCCTCCTCTGAGAAGTGTCTGTTCAGGTCCTTGGCCCATTTGTTGATTGGGTTGTTTGTTCTCTTATTGTCTAATTTTTTGAGTTCACAGGCATGGAGTTATTAATGATAGTGGAATGTGATGATCATTATTATCCAATACATCACTATTAACCATAGTCACCATGCTGAATGTTTGGGAACCAGGACATATTCATTTTCCTCCTCAATTTTCAATACCAAGCTCAACTTTTTCCTCTGAGACTTCTAAGCAGAATTGTTCATCTGCTCCTTTATGCCTACACCTCATTATAGATTTACACATTCATGGAATGCATAGATAGATACAGGGATATGCATTGCATATGGAACTTATATGTTTTATTGTGACAATTTGTTTCCTAACCCTCTCTTTCACTAGACAGTGATATCCCAGAAATTTGTAATTGTGTATTTTTCATCTTCCATTTCCATCCCCAGCTGGCACATAGCAAGTTATTCTGAATCCTACTTAATTCCTGGAGACATTGATTATAGGACTGATTCTCACCTTTTTGGGTTTTTTATTATTATTATTATTTGTTTTAATTAGTTACACATGACAGTACAATGATCTTGACATATCATACATTTGAATCAAATGGGGTATAATTACTCTTTTTTCTGAGTGTACAGGTTGCTGAATCACATTGGTCATATAGTCACGTATATACATACAGCAATAGTAGTGTCTATTTTATTCTGCTGTCCTTCCTATCCCCCCTTCCCTCCCCTCGCTTTTCTCTACCCAATCTAATATGACACACTTCTTTTTTTTCCCTCACATCGTCATACATGTAATCTGTATAATGATGAGGGTCTCCTTCCATCTTCCGTGCAATTCCCCTTCTCCCTCCCTTTCCCTCCCACCTCTCTTTCCTATCTAGAGGTAATTTTCTTCTCATGTCACCTTTTGATTACAACCCAACCTTCTGCATCCTCTTGAGAGAGAGAATGGGCTAACCAGAGGCTCCATCGAGGCTACCCTCTGGCAGTCAATTCCAGCTGTAAACCAAACACTCATGAAAATTGGCTCATTCACTCCCACTAATGAGTGGACTAATTTAAATTCTGTTTCTATGAGAATGAAGGAACCCCATGAAGTGTCCACTTAGGCTTCAACATTTTCTTCAAATGATATGATTCTATTGTGGACTAAGGATCTCCAAGGAGTACACAATGCACTACCTCCATAATGATGGATAGGAGAAACCTATAAAATTATCTTATTACATAAATTACTTCTAAGTCTTACCCCCTTCAAATAATAAACCCATGGATATTTTAATGATATATTAAAATGACAGAACATAAATTTCAAATAGCATATTTTGGGGCCTGGCACAGTGGTGCATGCCTGTAATCCCAGTGACTTGAGAGGCTGAGGCAGGGCGATCACAAGTTCACAGTCAGCTTCAGAAATTTAGTGAGACCTTAAGGAACTTAGCAAGATCTTGCCTCAAAAATAAAATAAAATGGGGCTGGGATTGTGGCTCAGTGGTAGAGCGTTCACCTAGCACGGGCGGGACCCAGGTTCGATCCTCAGCACCACATTAAAAAAATAAATAAAGGCATTGTGTTGTATCCATCTACACCCCAAAAATAAATATTTTAAAAAGTAAAATAAAATAAAATAAAAAGGGTTGGGATGTGGCTCAGTGGTTAAGTGCCCCTGGGTTCAATCTTTGGCACAAAAAAAAAATCAAATACCATATTGTATTGAGTTGATGTATATTTATCTTTACCATTTTAGGCTGTTAAGTAAAGAGAAAAATATTTAGATTTTAGAACTACACGTGAAGGGACCCACCATCCTGGGAGGTAATATAATATGGTGATTCAAAAGCGGGATGCTGAAGCAGAAGCCACCTAGATTTAGATCTTTGCTCTATCGCTTAGCAGCTGCATGTCCCTAAACTACTTGCTAAGTATTTCTGTGCCTACTAGTTACCTAATCTGTGGAATAAAAATGATTACCTAGCTGACTGCTGTTGGAATTAAAGAAGTTAATATGTGTAGGCAACCTAGGATATTGCCCGCCACATCATTAGTATTCAATAAATGGTGGTAGTGGTCGTGTTGATGTTGGTAGTGGTTCTGCCAATATTTTAAGAAATGATATTGGTAGTGGTGGTGGTGGTAGTGATATTTGGATGAGAACAACAAATGAGCTTAAATATGTTGTGAAAATACAAATAGATGAGAAAAAAGTTATGATGGCTTCAATTGGGTTTGTAAATGAAACAGCTAAAGACAAGTAGAAAAACTAACCTGAATTTTATTTGGAAAGATTGTACATCTAAGTTGCCATTTGCCAAACAGAAAATCAGAGAGTCACATAACTTTCTTTTACACTGATATACAAAAAGATCTATCATGAGATTATCAAGAGAAAGAAATAAACAAAGCATACCAAAAGGGAAAAGGAACAATGTCATACATAGCCAACCCTTACCCAATGGCTAATTTTACCAAAAAGAAATTTTTCTCACCTGGTTAAGTTAAAATGTAAGCTTGTATTTTTCCTAATACATATATAATTTATAAGTGAATTAACAATTTTTAAAAGTCAAAAATAAAATAAGACTACACATATTTTCTCATTTTTCTTTCAAAGTAAAGTAGTTTATGCATTTAGAGCACAATTTAGTATGGAATATCAGAACTAATAGTACTGTTAGTAAAAGGCATGTGTGTGTTAAAGATTGCTCAGTTAATTTTACATTTTGTCATATTTTATTATTGATACAATCGAAATATTTGAGAACATGTTTTAAGAATCACTCAGCTCATTTTGTGTAGCTAATGGAATTTACTATACATTACTAAACATTCTGTCTTAATGGATGAACTTATTTCTAATTATGCATGGTAATGGATGATGATGTAATAAATAACACATTTTCTTTATTATATTACTTACCTGTGATCAAATGCTAAAAGTTCAATTATTGAGTCAAAGGGTAGAGGTGGAGCCATTCAAAGTGTCTCCACAAAGCACAAAGGTTAACCCAGTGGTTTCCCTCCTTCAACTCAATGCCCTGTAGTGCTACTTGTGAGATTTTATAATCACAATAAAAAGGGTTTTTAAAAAAATAAATTAAATAAGAATAAAAGTAAAAATGAAAGAATAAATTAACTTCCTAAAAAAAAGTCTAAGACCTGCCAATATTTTAAGAAATGAATTCATCATAAGGACCTATGAAAAATCAACAAACTTTGTCGGGCGTGGTGTGATACACCTGCAATCTCAAGCATTTGGGAGGCCGAGGCAGAAGGATTGTAAGTTCAAGGCCCTTACTGAGCAACTTAGTGAGATCCTGTCTCAAAATAAAAAAATTAAAGGAATTGGGGATGTAGCCTGGTGGTAAAGCATCCCTGGGTTCAATCCCCAGTAGCAAAAAAAAAAAAAAAAGAGCAAAACTTCAGAGATATGGATATAAATGCAATATTTTTCTAGATTCCTTAAAATAAATTGATATTAACATAATATCATATATATTAGTTTATAAATCAATAAATTATTTTGTTAATAAATCAGAAATATTTTCTCTGTCCTTATACTAACTTTAGGGCCCAAAATTTCTAATGTGTCCCAGCTGTTCAGTCATGGAAACCATGATCTACTAACAGAAGCATACAAAAGCATACAGTAACACACATACCCCAAATTCTTGAACCTTATATCAGAAACTGACAGACCTTTGTAACAATGAAAAAGTAATGTTGAATGACCTTTAGAGGATTCATTCAGTAGAAAAGCATATGAACAGAGGAATACTGTTTGATTTTGGAGGGTTTTTTAAGTGACATTAAAAAGCCATGGATAAGGTGGGTGTGTGTGTGTGTGTGTGTGTGTGTATATATATATATATATATATATATATATATATATATATATATATATGCAGTTATAAAATAACCAGGACTTAGTCCAAGAAATTTATTATTAGACTGTAAAAAAAGAAGAATTTGGAAATGACATCATATGAAGCTGATGCCAATATGAAAAGAGCCTTGGATTCATTTGTGACATTTCTGCTTGGAGTCAGAAACAGAAAGACAATAGAAACCAGAGGAGCACTCATCTGTTAGCAGAAACCTTAGGAATTCAAATCAACAAGTAGGCTTAGATATATTTTCAATGTTTTTAATCTAAAAGTAAGGAGAACTGATTTTCATGATAAACTTAGATTTATCATGTGACATCTCTGTTCCTGAGTATTATCATCTATAAAATAAATAGGTTGTAACAAATGATCCCATTTGATTTAATTTTAGAATTAGATCCCAAATTCTAAAATTTCCATTGTCCTATTATATAATCAAGAGTTTTCTAAGTGTCCAAAGGATGAGGTAGGAAGGCAGATACTAAAGAAAGGGAGGGAAGGAAAAAAAAAAAAACAAGCATTTAGTTATTATGGCAATTTGCTGGATAGTTCGGATAAAGAATATTAACAAATTCAAAACAGGGAAAGCATACAGTGAAAAGGAGAAATACACTGATTTCCAACTCTAAATAATTAAACTCACTGCTTGGCACCATTGGAGGTATAAAGAATATTGGAAGTAGTGGATTAAAGGTAAAAATCGACTTTGGTTTGAAACATTTTACATTGTAATTACAAAGAGAATGAGCAGAAAGCATCTCTTAGTTATGTTTAAAAATTATCAAAGTAAAAATACTCACTGTGTTGTTATCATGAATATTAAATGATTTATGTTAATCACCCAGTGCAGATCCTGAAGCACAGGAAGCTCCACTGCTATATCCCCATCTCCTTACTTGGTGGGGGTACTAGAGATACACAAGAACAAGGTAACATGGTAACATACCTAAATGTAACCTAGTGCACTACATTAAGAGAGATCAAAACTTTCAATGACTACATTTTTCCCATCGTCGTTGAGTGTAGAGTTGCATTTTGGTTTAGAGTGTTTAGGACATCTTCCTGTAACCCACAAGCTGATAGAAAAGTTTCCTCATTGCTGTCTTCATCTCCTTGTTCCTAAATGTATAGATCATTGGATTTAGAAAAGGCGTGAGAACTGCATCTAAGATCGCAAGAAATTTGTCCACATGTGATGATGGGAAAGGCCAGGTGTAGAAGAAGATCAATGGCCCAAAGAATAAAACTACCACAGTGACATGAGCTGATAAAGTGGAGAGGGCCTTGGATAAACCACCTGAGGAGTGTTTTCGAACAGTAACCAGAATGAAGATGTAAGAAATGATCAGTATGAAGAAGGACCCCACAGAGATGAATCCGCTGTTGGCTGTGACCATGAACTCCAGTCTATCAGTCTTTGTGCAAGCAAGTCTCATGAGCTGAGGGAGATCACAGTAAAAGCTGTCCAGTACATTTGGGCCACAGAAGGGCAGGTCTACAACAAAAGCCAACTGGGCCACTGAGTGGATGAGGCCAAGGATCCAGGCAACAACCAAAATGAAAATGCACATCCGTGGGCTCATGATGGTCAGGTAGTGCAGAGGCTTACATATGGCCACATATCTGTCAAAGGCCATGGCTATGAGCAGCACCATTTCTGTGCCCCCAATAGCATGAATAAAGAAGATCTGAGCTATGCAACCCCCAAAAGAGATTGCTTTGTGTTTTCTAAAAAGGTCATACATCATTTTGGGGGCCACAGTAGAGCAACCTCCCAGGTCAAGAAACGAGAGCTTGGCCAGCAGAAAGTACATGGGGGAGTGTAGGTTAGGGTCAGAAGTCACAGAGAACAAAATGAGGAGGTTTCCTGTAAGACTTGCAAAGTAGAACACAGAAGAAAAGAGTAAAAGTAGAAGCTGGATCTCCCACAAGTTGGAAAATCCCAGGAACACAAACTCAGACACCACAGAGTGGTTGGCTCCATCCATTGTCTCAGAGAGCAGAACTTTCTCAAGCATTACCTGATAAAGGAAAGTAACAAAAAAAAAATCAAGCTTTGTAGGGACTCACCGACTACATGAGTTTCAACTTGTAAGGAAAAAATACTGCCTGAGCAATGCCGAAACCCTTTTGCCATTCAACTATAGCTGCAAAAACAAGCCACTGCTTCTAACTCCCAGACTCCCTAAAATTTCCAGGTTTAAAAAAGAGATTAGGCAAAAAAAAATTAGGAATCAGAAAATCACTGGAGGAGTAGGAATTCTCTGGAATAATACGATGATGGAGGGGAAAGGGTATGGAAATGTACTCTGATTTCTCCCTCACAGTTTATTACTCCTGCTCATGGAATTCCCCAAACTTCAAGCAATTTCTCATGACCTTTGTTTTCCTATGTCTTTACTCCTGTATGCAATACTATCATTCTCATTAATACTCCCTCATGTTTAGCTTCATGCTATTCCTGTTTTATCAAATCATATTCACTTTTTCCTCATGAGGAGAGGAGATAATAGAGAAACCCTAAAATTCCCACTTTGGTAGCTCAGTCCAGGGTGTAGATGGATTACACAGCCTGGGCTATGACAGCATTCTGGTCAAGTACAAGGTCAGAAAAGAGATTCATGATGCAGAATCTAAAGATGGATGGAGTAAAAACAGGATAATAACAAAATTACACAAAAATGATACTTGCAAATCACCATCCATGCCATATTAACTTTCCCTGGTTCCTGGAATGATAGAAAGAATGTCACACTTCAAATCAGAATAACGTGAACATGTCCTATCCCTGCACACACTTCATATCAGAAGAACGTGAACATGTCCTATCCCTGCCCTGAAGGAATTTGAGTACTCCGTTCTTTCTACCATCCCTCCAAACTCAGCTTACTTCCTGAACCCAGTTTCATCATCTATAAAATAAAGGGGCTGAGGCAGGTGACATTAAGGAATCTTTTCAAGTGTAATGTTTTTATTATTTTATCATTTAGTGCTAGTCTGCTGTGTAATGAAGCTCGCCACAATATTGATATTCTCTTCACTGAACTGCTAATATATTTGCATCTTTTCCCTTGTTTGTAGTTGGGTGTATCTCATATTCCATAGAAGGCTCTCTCTTCAAATTAATCTCCCTCTTTTCTAATTCACTCTGTGACTTCATTAACAATATTGCAAATCTGCTGTATCATTTATTTTGTCATTTATCATAATCATCAACAAATAATCAGCAAACATCTATTAGATGCCCATCATCCTCAGTGGACACTCTGAACTTCCTGAAGTATTACTTAATGCTTTTGCACTTTAGCATGTGCAGGCGCGCGCGCGCGCACACACACACACACACACACACACAATGTAAAAATAATAAAAAATAAACTATTTTAAAATGTCAAATAAAGCCAGGAATGGTGGCACACACCTGTAATCCCAGAAACTTGGCCGGCTGAAGCAGGAGGATCACAAGTTCAAGAAGGTCTCGGCAACTTAGCAAGGTCCTGAGCAACTTACAAGACTCTATCTCAAAATAAAAAATAAAAAGGTCTGGGTGTGTAGTCAGTTGTTAAGCACTGCTGGGTGCAATCCTCACTACCAAAAAAAATGTCAAATAGTAATATGATCATAGTTTTTTAAACAGAAAAGATACCCTTGAGTTAGGGTGATTAGGACTGTCTTCAGAACGAAATCATAACTCGTGTTGCAGATTAAGAGATGGAGCTAATCTATTCCAATACACAGCATCATAACTAAGCTTAAAGAATTACTGAATGATTCCCCCAGTCTGGGGGAAAGGTTTGATTATTTAAAGAACTGTAGAATCATCCCCCAGTCTGCAACAGTGGTTGGTGAGCTTTCTATGGTAATAACAATAACTAACAAAAACAGTGACCACCATGTGCAAAATACCATAATTACTCCTTTACAGACACTATCCTATTTTATATCTATGAAAATTGGTATTACTGGCTCCTTTTTACAGGTAGAGAAATGAAGACCAAGGAGGAGAAGTAAGGTGCCAGGCCAGGAGTGAGTGGTAGAACTGATACTGATGCTCTCACTGCTCTCATCCAGCATGTACAGCAGACAGCTTTTTCTCATGACTTCACAGTTGTATCACATACCTAGACCCTTTCTAGGTGCCCCGTGTTCTACTCTCAGCACACTGGGGAAATCTAAGTGAAAAAAAGACAGATTTATCCTCAAGTGTTCACAGCATATGGGTTTCTTAAGCCACTTTGAATGCATCCATAATATATTCTGGCTTTTTAAATAAACATGGTAGGAGAATACAAAGCCATAGAAAACCTGCTGTGCTTTCAGACCCCCAATGTCTTGATCCCCACAGAATCTTTAGCTTTTTGCAGAAGAGACTTAGTTCTTACCTTCTCTAGTGAATGGACAAAGAAGCAAAGGCACTCTGTCTCCATATCCCATAGAATGCCCTCTCCTCACATTGATCATGCCTTCTCCCTCTTCTGTAATTCATTTTGTGACTCGATTAACATATCATTGCAAATTTGCTGGATCATTTATTTTGTATTTATCATAATAACTTGTACTCAACCAACAAACATTTACTAGATGCCTATCATGCCTAATGGACACTTTAAACTTATTGAAGTATTAAATATTCCTTCCCTTAGCCTTTCACATTTTTAGCACACCCGCAACATGTCTCTGTGTCAAAAATAAACTCCAGAACTAAGGCAAGTAGATTCTGTTCAAACTTCCAAGACTTTCTCCTTAACATTCTAATTCCCTTTTTTCAACTTCAACCTTAAATTAATATATATTTTTAAAAGACAAGAAAGAAATTTCAGTTTCTGTGTCCTTTTTCTTCTCATTTTATTGATGTTTGCTCATTAAGCTCTGCTAAAGCTGCTTCCCCTATGCAAGGTAATATTTAATTTATTTCTTTACAAATTAATACTGTCACTAGAAACATCTATTTAATAATACTTGCCCTTGGGGATTTCAACACTGTACCATCATATCACTAAACTATTTCTGTATGTGCTGCCAATCTACTCATTTAAAGACCAAAGATGTAACTCTTTCCAAAACATAACCACACTCAACATTCCTCTGGTCAGATCTAGCATTTCTTTATGCACAAACATTTATAAAAATGTTATTATTGTGGGAGATAGAGCTAATTGGAACACAAGGGAATACTGACCAAATGATACTACAGAGACAGGATCAACAACATGAGACTTGGGATCACCAATACATATCCAAGGGAATTGTCACCCAGAATCCTGACAAGCCAATGGAGGAAGCTAAAAGTGAGTCACAAAAAGGGAATGGAGGCAGAGATAAAAATGTTAGGATATAAAAAAACAAAAGGTATGTAAATAAGAAGATAAACCTAAGTGGCATCATACTCTGAAACCTAAAGCAGAGGTTTATGTTTTAGTTTCTAGGAGTAATTGTTTTCAAGTAATCATAAAGATCACACATATGAACATATATTGAACCACAATAAATTTCCAAAAATAGAAATTGTACATTCTTAAACCACTCTAATCACAATTTAAGAAAACTTGAATTTGATAATAATGTAAAAAATAATTTTAAATTTAAAATTTAAACTCCTCCTAATAATAACAAACAAGTAGGGGGGTAAAACTACAAAGATATTCTTGTGAAAATTGAGAAAACTTGAAAATGGATTGTATATGAGATGACATTGGTGATTTGATATGTATTTTGCTAGATAAAATAGTTATGATATTAAAATATTAGGGGAGGGGAGGGGCATAGGGGCAGGAAAGATGGCGGAATGAGATGGACATCATTATCCTAGGTATATGTATGACTGCACATATGGTGCAATGCTACATTATGTATAACCAGAGAAATGAAAAGTTGTGCTTCAATAGTGTACAATGAATCAAAATGCATTCTGCTGTCATATAAAACTAAATAGAACAAATAAATTAATTAATTTTTTGAAAAAGACCTTAAACAAGATAGACATGATTTTTTTTTAAAAAAATGTCACCTGCTTCTCAGGGCATTAATATCCAAACTATATAAAGAACTCAAAAACTTAACATCAAAAACAAATAACCCAATTACTAAATTAGCAAAAGAACTAAACAGATACTCCTCAAAAGAAAAAATACAATTGACCAATAAATGTGTGAAAAATGTACATCTCTAGCAATCAGGGAAATAAATGCAAATCAAAACTACACTGAGATTTCAACTCACTCCACTCAGAATGGCAAGTATCAAGCATACAAATAATAGTAAGTGTTGGTGAGGATGTGGGGGGAAACATACACTCATACGTTGTTGGTGGGACTGCAAATGAATGCAACCACTCTGGAAAGCACTAGGGAATTTTCTCAAAAAACTAGGTATAGGACCACTATATGACCCAGCTATCCCACTCCTCAATATATATGCACAAGATCTAAAATCAGCATACTATAGTGACACAGTCACATCAATGTTTATAGAAGTACAGTTCACAATAGACAAGCTATATAAAACCAACCAAGATTCCCTTCAGCAGATAAATGGAAGGTATATAAAATGTGGTATATACATACATACAATGGAGTATTACTCAGCCAGAAAGAAGAATGGAAAGTATGGCATTTGCTGCTAAATTGATGGAACTGGAGACTATAGTGTTAAGTGAAACAAACTAGACTCAGAAAGGCAAAGGTCTAATATTTTCTCTGGTAAAGCTAGACCCAAAATAAAGATGAAAAAGAAAAGAGAGAAAGGGAAAATGTGGGGGTTGGATTCCATCAAAACAGAAGAAAGACCAATGGACTAGATGAAGGGGTCTGAAGGGGTCTGAAGGGGATGGAGGAACAGAAGGAGAAAGGACGGATAACAAAACAACAGTGGAATGAATATGACCTACCTTTTCTATGTACATATATGTATATACCACAGTGAATCTCACCATCATGTATATCCCCGAGACACTAACCATAATAAAAAAAAAATTCTAAAAGTAAATAGCAGAAAGATCTGT